AGCATCTTGGAGAAAGTGGTCAACCCAAATTGAAAAGATTGGTCGCTGAGATTGGAGGATGCTCTATGGGCATACAGAACAGCATTCAAGACACCGCTGGGAATGTCCCCATTCCGCCTAGTCTTTGGGAAGGCATGCCACTTACCGGTGGAGTTGGAGCATAGAGCATATTGGGCAGTAAAATAGCTGAACATGGACCTCAATTTAGCAGGAGAAAAGCGTTTGTTGCAGCTAAATGAACTGGAGGAATTCCAGCCGCTAGCATATGAAAGTGCCAAATTATATAAGGAGAAAACTAAGAAATGGCATGACAGAAGAATCATTCCTCGACAGTTTGAAGTTGGGCAGCAGGTTCTACTTTTCAATTCCAGGTTGAAATTGTTTCTAGGGAAACTGAAGTCCAGATGGTCAGGTCCCTTTGTGGTACATTCAGTCTATCCACATGGAGCAGTAGAGATAGCAGCTGAAGATTCAGGGAGAACCTTCAAGGTGAACGGCCAGCGGCTAAAGCACTACTGGGGTGACGAGATTAATCGCCAGAAAACCTCCATCTCAGTTCAAGACGCATAAGAGCGCGGCCGAGTCAGGCTGAAGACGTTAAAACAAGCGCTTGAGGGAGGCAACCCTATACTTTTAATTCCTATATGTCTTTTGATTTTTAGTTTTTGTAATGACTTTTTGTTTCTGTTGTGAAGAACATGATTATGATCCAGGAAGGCATTGGGCAGAAGTAATGTTGGCGGGAGAAAGGAAGGTTTTAGCTCAAAGGAAAGGGAGGGTTGAGTCCAGAATTTTGCTGCAGCAAAATTTTTCTCAATAAAAAATTTTTTGCTGCAGCAATGTTTCCAAAAAAAAAAAAAAAAAAAGAAAAGAAAAAAAACACGGGGAATAAAAAGGGACAACATGCCCTATTGCTTTCATTCAAAACTTCCACTTCCCCTTTCAGTCAAAACCCTACCAGCCCCACCAAGAGTTTCCGTGGCATCCCTTTCTCCTGCGCCGTCGACCCCACTGATCAGCCGTGACCACAGCCTCGTGCGCACTCGAATCCAAGGGGCCCAGTTGGTGTTGATTCTACCGTTGAGGCTTTCCCCTATTCAGATTCGTCAAGAGAAGTTTTGGCGCGGAATTTCAATTTCAACTTTGGGGCCGAAATTTTTTCTGGTTGAGCCGCTCCTTCCGTCGCCGATCCCGAAATGGTGCGCATGAAGAGACCAGCCAACAAAAGAGTCGGTCGCGTGCCAAGGAACCCACAGATTAGTTATCGGACATTTTCCTCAATAACGATGGAAGTCTGGTACGACCAGTGCATCTGTCGGCGTTCTTTCAACCCCGAGAAGGGGTTCTTGCTGACTAGCGCCCCTAATATGGGGTATGATGAGAGCATAGCTTCGGTCATCAATGCCATAAATTGGAGAACTTCTTGTTCTCACCCGCCGGCCGTAGTAGTCCCTCTCGTCCGAGAGTTCTACGCCCACTTCACCCAAGAAGGGCAGCAGCATGTGTACACCCGGGTGTTAAGGTTCCAGTTGACCCGGAGACAATAAATCGTTTCTACGGGCTAGAGGCCTCGGTTGATCTGCACTCTGAGTTTGCAGCGGCGGTTGATGCAACTCAGCTAAACAACATGCTGGAGCATCTTTGTGTCCCAGGCACCAAATGGAGCGTCACCAAGCAGGGTGCTTTGACGGTGCCAAGAAGCAGCCTTGCCCCGCAGAGCAGAATTTGGTACCATTTCTTGAAGACCCGCCTACTGCCCTCCACGACGATGCACACAGTGTCCAAGAACCGAATGCTACTGCTGGATGCTGTCCTGGCAGGCTGCCTAATCAATGTCGACAAAATAATCAACAGGGAACTCCGGACGTGTGCTCGAAAGGCTAAAGGTAGCTTGTGGTTTCCCGCACTCATTTCAGGACCGTGTCAAAATAGTGGCGCGCCGGTATTTCCTCATGAGGAGACGTTGTCCTCGCGTGGAGCAATCACCATACTGACCATAGAACGGATGGCACAGAATCAGCCGGAAGGAGAACCTCCAGTTGAGCAGTCCTCCGATGAGGATGAGGAGCCAGCCCCGGGGGGTAGGCCACAACCAGCGGACATGCGGCCGAATCGAGTAGCAGAGGTCAGGATGCGGGAATAATCAGCTCACTCTGCATGATGGAACAACGAATCGCTCTCCAGGAAAGTCAGCAGGCTGAGATGATGGAAATGATGTAGCGGATGCATAACCAGCAGCAGCAATATTGGGCATACGCCGAGCAACGGGACAACGCCTTGAAGAAATCTCTTCAGAAAACCTTCACCAAGCCGGTGTTCCCATTCCCTGAATTTCCCGAAGAGGTACTGGAGCTCGTTGTTTCTAAGGACAGTGCCTCGGTCCACCCAGAGGAGGGAGAAGAGGAGTAACAGGGTAGGTGCCCTGCCTACCCTGCCCAGGGAGTATAAATTTTCTGCCCCATTTTTGCTTTGTCTTATTTCAGTTGTTTTTAGTATCTGTTTGTTCTTGGTAGTTTATCAGCATTTCCCCCAAGTAATGAAGACACTGCTTCCTTTAAGTTTGGGGGTGTTTGGCAGGCCTGTGTAGATTTGTGTTTAATGCCTGTTGATTGAGTCTGTTTGTTTAGTAGCATATTAGTTTGATTTTTGTTAAAAAAAAAAAAAATTTGAATAAATGCCTTGGTCTTGCTGCAGTTGTGTTGGTTTAAGGACATTCAATGAAAAACGCAGTGTGTCAAAAGTCTCAGCTTGTATAACAATTCGGCATGAGTTGAATCTTGGTGATATCTGTGGTTCGTTAGCTCCATGAATGTTATCATGTGAAATTTAGCACGTTAGATCATAGCACAGTTGTCTAGTGGAAAGCCTAGGAAGTTTTGAGTCATTGTGAGAGCTTAGGGTCATAGAACTGATTGTGTGATGCCCTTGAAGTTAAGTTCAGGGGGGCCAAACGTTTTAGGGTAAATCAATGTTGAAAAGGGTGGAAGTGTATTTGCTATAAAAAAAAAAATCTATACTCCACTATTCCGAGCTACCTAGTAACCAGGAGTAACATGAGCCCTATGTGTACTTTTGCGTCAAACAGTAGTTCAGGATATGAGTGTGCTAAAA